AGACACACAGACACACAGACACACAGACACACAGACACACAGACACACAGACACACAGACACACAGACACACAGACACACAGACACACAGACACACAGACACACAGACACACAGACACACAGACACACAGACACACAGACACACAGACACACAGACACACAGACACACAGACACACAGACACACAGACACACAGACACACACCCACACACCCACACACCCACACCCACACCCACACCCACACCCACACACACGCACACACCCACACACGCACACACGCACACACGCACACACGCACACCCGCACACCCGCACACCCGCACACCCACACGCGCACACGCGCACACGCGCACACGCGCACACACGCACACACGCGCACACGCGCACACGCGCACACGCGCACACGCGCACACGCGCACACGCGCACGCACGCGCGCACGCGCGCACGCACGCGCGCGCGCACGCGCGCACGCACGCGCGCACGCACGCACGCACGCACGTCTGCCTCCGTGCTGCAGGCTTGCTGACATCTGGAAGGGCCGAGGCCGGGTTCTCCTGGACCCGGCTGATCAAGCGCAAGCTGTCCATGCCAACGGAAGCAGTTAACAATGACTCGGCATGCAACCAAAAAAATGGCAGCTGGCAACAGCTTCATGAACTGCTCACAAGGATGCCACAACGCCAGCTTTGTTTGTGGATTGCCAAGCCGACCATTGCCCGAGTCGAGAAGTTACAATAAGACAACATGGCCTTACCACGTTCCCACTACTACACGTTAGCAATAAAAGTCCTCCATCTGTGTGGTTGAAGGCGCGACTGTACCTGATGATGACAGATTCCTTTACAGCATGTTCAGCACAATCATGGAGCTCCGCGCTTCACACGCCGAGAGCCAATAGACCCAAAAAAGCAACACACCCAAAACCCTAAAGCTGCTGCCTTCAGAAAAACTTGTGATCTCACGGCTGAGTGCGGAATTTGCTGCCATGGAGATGACCGTGCCTGCTTGATCTGCCAGAATTGGATCAGCTTGATCGGCTTGTTCTGCCAGAAATCTGCCAAGGGACATTATCCAAGACAAGTTCCGGCTCTGTCAGTGCACCTGCATCAAACTCTGGTCGAAATTCGTTTGGCTGCCCCAAAACTTACTTCCTCATCAAAGGCGGCGGGAATCCGCATTGGATGGTTTGGGACATGTTCCCCTTGAATGGACCCCTGGCAGGTTCGGCTCTTTAGGTTTCCTGGGGACACCGGATGCAATTTTGCTCACCGAAGCCTCCATTTGCTTAAGTCCCCTGGAAAAAAAAACCTCCAGTAGATAGATTCCCTTTAAAGCCAACAGGGGAACATGAAAAACATTCTTAAACAAATGGAAGGAACCGATTCGACCTGCCTCTGCAGCTTGGCCTCCGCAATCACCTGTGGCGGGTTCAGGCGACATGGGGCTGGGTTCCTTTGGATGCTTCCCGTTTTGGGGTTGGTTTCAAAAGAAGGCAAACTCGGTTGCTTTCTGCTCCCCTTCGAAAAGTGACTAACTTTTCGTGGCTTAATGGAAAACCCATTAGTTGGTAAAAGGTTGAAGGCCTAGCATCCAAGCAGAATGCACCAAAGCAAAGGGACCGCCGAAGCCATCACACCCAAATCAAGGACCCTTTTTTGGCGGAGACTGAGAACCCACTGGAAAGGGCCCCCAGAACTGGTCGACAGCACGGGCTTGCTGAAGGTATAGGGAGCTGTTTTTGTTTGGAACTGAGACTTTTCTAGACGGGCGCACTCTCACATCCTGACTTTTGATTTCGAGACATTCCCCAATCTTTGGCTAAGCACAAAAGAGTCTGATGGCTGATTGGTCCCATGCAGCCGTGCCTCCCAAGTACAAATCAGCTGTGAACCCCGGCGGGCGTCAGCGACTCCAAGAGGCTGCTGCGCTCCTTCTCCTGCCAAATGGCTGTGGTTGTCAAAAATAGGGTAACCCCAAAATGGAACTCTGGTAAATGCAACCACGGACTAAAATCTGTGGTCCCCTGGTCATTTAATATTGACCCGCACCCAAATTCAAATGCATAAGACCCATTGCCATGGACGCCGAAGCGCAAGTGACAAGCTCGGAGGCTGAGGTGGGCAAGTCCAATTGGCTCTGGTCCTTGGGGAGTTTGTCGCAAAGCGTCTGATGTCTCTGCAAAGAAAACCGGTATGCAGCTAACAGCTTCTCTAGCACAACCTGCCTAGACCCCATGGAATCCAGTGCTTGACAGGGAGATGTTCACCGCCACGTGAAGTAAGATGCTCAAGGGACTTCTGAACGCCAAGAAGAAAGCGTTGGGTGACACCACGCAGCTGCCTCGAGTGAAATCCCCAAAATGGTCGGTCCAACTTTGTCAGGGTTGATGGGCCACTTCATCCCAAGTACACAACACCTCATTGAAACTTTGGGGGAGGGGGGCAGGTTGGATTCGGATTTGGCTGAAGGCTCGCCCTAAAAAAGGGCCAGCCATGGTGTGCAATTGTCAAATGCGTATCTCCAACCCAACTACAACATGATTCGCGGCAAACTGCTCAAAGACTAGGCTGGCGACAACCTCGAAGGGCTTAGATTCACAAAAAGGAACTTCACTGATCAGCTCATATAGTTGGCGTGATCATGCAAAAGCGATCACGCACTTCCATCTTACCCTTCCAGCCATTCACTGCAGCCAGCCAACTGACATGTACATACTTGTACCTGACTTGTACAGCTGGTGAGGCACTCCTTACATCCCCCATGTGCTTTACCTTTCCGTATGACCTGCGGAGGGGGCGCCTTGAAAAACCGCTTGGTCTTCCGGTCGGAGATGTCCAGCTTGAGGGTGGCCACACGCACACCCAGCTCCTGCATGGTGCCTTCCTTTGACGTACGTTTTAGGGGTGCCTGCTAGGTGGTCTCTCTTCTCTCCGGCGAACAGTTTCCAGTACTCCATAGCTGTAGTTCCAGTAAGGCCTGGAGTACCATTCCAACTATTTGATTCTTTCTTCGGACGATTCGATTCTTTCTTCGGAGTGGGGGAGGCACCTGTAGACTGTTCCTCTGTTTGCGTTTGGTGCTGTTGATCAGATTTGTCCCCTTCAGGGCATGGGCAACTTTTTGCTAGGAAGGGCTAAGCATCGGCACACCAGCTCATGGCAAAGCACAGCAACTGAAGAAAAAGCAGTCGAGTCATATGCACTCTTCGAATCTCGCGAAACAATCACATCCCATTTGATGAGGCACGCTGCAAATAAGTGCCACAGATTGATGCTTGAACCAATGCCGACGTATATTAGTATTTACAATTGTTTGCACAAACCAACACCCCGAAAACGCCCACGTCCTCCCCTTTTTTGGTGGCCACAACTGGCTGCATGTTGGCATGTGCTTCAACTTCAACCAGCCGCAAAGGGCCCTGCCTTTCTCGACATAGTCGCCTGGCGTACAGCGGTGATGGAGCACATTGTCATGGCACGTGTCTCTGTCCACTCATTCGTTTGCAACCAGCGACGCGGAGACTTTGCGCACGCCAAAGAGGGGCATCAGCTTGCCAACTTGAAGAAATGGGTGTGGCTCAAAAAAAGCCCCCCCCCCAAAAAAAACTGGTAAATGAATAAGTTGACAAACACCTCGGCTCCCCTTCTTGAATTTTGAGCCACACCCAAATCCAGACGATTGGTCTGCTCATCGCATCATTGCTCCGGACAGATTGCTGGATGGGGAACACTTCCATGACTCCAACTGGGAACATCCCAAGCCGCAAAAACATGCATATAGACATCTGGCAAAATCCGGCAAGCGTGCATCCCGAAGTCAAGACACCAATGCTCCAACAGCAAGCAACGTTTTTCCAACCAGTGCCCGTTTTTTAAAGGTTGGTTTGAAGGGATAGCGAAACTACCATTTTGGGGGTCACCCTATTTTGACACAAGCCCTACTATGTAATATGCACAACAGCATACATCTGCGTAGGGTCGTGCAAACGACGACAAGGATGTCACGTTGGCCAGAGGTCGCAAAAAACATTAAACATATCCAACTTGCCAATTTTGCGCACGTTGCGCTGAGATACTTTCTGAAAACCATGTTCTCGACAGAACGACGGAGGCTTCAAGAAATCCAATGATCATGAAGGAGACGATGGGCAAAGTATCGCCCCTTGCCAATCAAGATGCGACAGCCACCCCAGACAGAGACAAGAAACACGGCGCCATTTGCCACAACAATTTGCCAAGGCGAAGAACCGCCAGACTAGACCACGCCACCACCCACAACTTTCAAGAAACACTCGTTTGCTATGAACTTGGCCTGAACCCGTGAACGCAGCTCCGTAAGATCTTTCGACAGAACTACTCTGGCGCTCTAGCTTTTAATTAGCAACTTGTGAGAGCTATTGGGTTTGCTAGCTCTCTGCGGAGTTGTTACATGCAGGCAACATCTAGTGATGAGTGGCTCTAGGTGTTTCCATCAATTTGCAGGATATCTCTGTGTCATGCTAAAACACCAAAACTATGTGATAGCATGCCGTTGCGAGCATATCGTTCTCGGGCCCCTACATGCCGATTAAGCAACAACCACCTTGAGAAGAGGACTCGCACTTGTGTCTTTGCTCATTCATCCAGGACTCTATGCCAGTCGGCAGAATGGCCGCAATTTTAAACCTGAGATTTCTTGAGGTCCTTACCCGCAAGGGATCATGGTCTAGCGAACCACGAGCAAGGGCGCAAGGACTTTCTATATTGCCTGTCCTGTACAACGCGACATCCCATCTGCCCAGCAGACCCCCGGAACGCTAGAAAAGAATCTGTATGGCCCGGAGCCTGCTGTGCGAGTGGAAAACTAAGTTCTGCACAGCTCTTGCGTGAGAAATTCTAAAATCTGGTCCCGCGCCGTGTCTCGAAGCCTTGAGGAATGAAGGCGAGATCGCCCGAATTTCGATGCATTGGCATCATTGGCACGGTCCTTAACAAAAATTGGCCAATCCCGGCACGTGCATCTCCTAGCGCCCATTTGCCAGGACGTCCGCCGAGCGCTGGGCCGCAGCACTGGTCTTGTTGTCGTCAACGTTCCAAATGAAACCAGAGTAGAGGCCCACGAGCCACTTGATCTGCTTGTGCTCGGCGTCGTCCAGCAGGCTCTCCCCGGTCTCAAGGCGCTTCTGGCGGATTTGCACCTCCGCCAGAAGCCGCTGCGCCTCGTTCCTCTGATACATCGTGTGCTGCCAGCGGTCCAAGCGCTGAAGGCCCTTGATCACTGCCGCCACCGCCAGCCTGCGCCGCTCCAGATCTTCGCTGGGGGGCAGCGCTGGGAGTTGCTTCTTCTGAGACTCCAGCTTCTGCTCCAACTCCCGGACGCGAGCCAGAAGGTTCTTGGGGAGGAAGTCGAAGACACTTGCCACTTTCTCATACTGGATGCAGCGCCATGCGCTTGAGTCTTCCCTGCTCGAGGTGATGGACCGGGGGTTCTTGCCGTCGCTGATGGCTGCCCCGATGCTGGTCCAGCTTCGGCTCTCGTTCACGGCATGGGCCCCCTCCGCGCTGGCCATTTCGGTGCCGGCCGCCACGTCCCCCTTGCCCGCAACGCCCTGGCCAATGCCGCCGGCCGCCACGTGCGCGGAGTCCGTTGCCTGCTTCTTGCTCTCCTGCTTGGTGACGTTCTTGACCTCGGTGGAGAAGGCGGCCACCCCGATCATCACCTCAGTGGGGTAGACGTCCCCGTAGGTGCTGAAGATGCGGTCCTCGAAGAACTTGCTCAACTCCTCCGGCAAGCAGTTTCCTGCAGCGCTCAGGGCTTCCTCCACGCTCTTCACGAAGCCGGGATTTAGCTCGAGGTGCTCTGTGTCGATCTTGAAGCTTCCCGCTGGCACCTGATACTTGTGGACGACAGAGTACTGGGTGCCCACTTCTCGCTGTTCCTGGTGACTGGCGGACTTGTACTCTGCAGCAGCTGCTGCAAGGGGTGTGCACACCTCCTGGTAGGCTTGCGCGCTGCAGAGCTCTGAGTGCGCCTTGAACTTGTCGCTGAAGAGCACCACGGCAAGCTCCTGCTCACTGACCTGCGCAGCGCGGAAGCCCTGCTTGATGGTGGCACCGGTCGGCTCCTTGAAGAGTGGCTTCGACGAGCAGCCGAAGGCGCTACTGCTGGTGATCCTCCCGTAGGTCAGGTTGCAGTTCGCGAAGACCTGCTGCCAATCCACCTGCCCCAGCTTCATGACGCCTGCATTGGTGTCCTTCCCCGTCTGCAGCACGGGCGCGGTGCCGGAGAAGCTTTGCTGCAGCAGGGTGGGGGCGTATCCATGGTCCGTCACCTCCCGAAACTCCGGCGCCTGCATGGGCTTGGCGGTCTCCAGCCTGATCTGCACCAAAGCCGCTTCCCTCTCCGTCAACACCTCGGCGGCCACCAGCCTTGCCACCTGCTCGGGCTTCAAATCCTCCAGCTTCATGTCCAGCTGCGTCATGAGCTTCTGCTGGATCTCGTTGATGGCGGACATGGCGCCGGAGTCGAATCAGGTCTCTGCAAGGGCGCCAGGAATTTGTACCAGAAAAGGCCTGAGGTGGCAAGTATCTGCAAGCGACTGAAAAAACACAGCCACTACAATGGGCTCCCAAGGCGGGGTGTAGTACGGCCATGTTTTGTGAGTTTCGGTTGGTGTCTGGCTTCAGTGTAACCCGTATCCAGCACAACTTAGAGTGGCATATTTTACCAAATGAATGTCTCCTCAGCGCGAGTGGCTTCCCCTTTTGAACTTCTGTAGAAAGGAATTCTCGACCTTTGTAGTCCCCGACGCAGTTGCAGCTTTTCGCAACTCTCTTTCATCCTTTGCACCCTTCCCACGAACGTAGCACAGGTACCTGGAGGATCACGCTCTTCCATAAAGCACTCTCAGTCAAATGCCACCTAGTGTCTTAAAATAGGAAGAGGAGCCCCAAACTGCTGGTCCCTTCAAAAAAAAAAAGGAGCACTGAGAGTTGGGGACTCTGCCCACGCAGAAGCGATTTCACGGCCGCATTTCCTCTAAAAACAAGACACCCAACATCCCATAAGGGGGAGGGGGGTGGGGGGTTCCCAATTCCAGATATCCAGCCTTCCCCTTACAAAGGAAATGAAACCATAAATGGAATTCCAGGGGTCCCCCCTCCCCCAATTCCATATTTAAGGGGGTGGGGATCGCCCAACCCAGCCCTTTGCGATTCCAGGACCTCCTGTGGCGCGCACGATTCTGCGCGCCTGCCCGCTGCGAAGGTGCTGCCGGAGATCCAGGAGGTCCTGGACCTCGAGGCGAGAGCGGGTTACGATGGATGGATGGATGGATGGATTGCTTGATTGGTTTGTTGGTTGCCTGATTGGTTGCTTCGTTGATTGGCTAGTTCGTTGCACCATTGGTTGGTTGGTCGTTTGGTCGGTCGGTTGGTTGGTTGGCTAGTATGTTTCATTGGTCGCTTCATTGATTGCTAGTTCGTTCCACAAGGTTGGTTGATTGGTTGGTTGGTTGGCTGGCTGGCTGGCTGGTTGGTTGGTTGGTTGGTTGGTGGGTTGGTGGGTTGGTGGGTTGGTGGGTTGGTGGGTTGGTGGGTTGGTGGGTTGGTGGGTTGGTGGGTTGGTGGGTTGGTGGGTTGGTTGGTTGGTTGGTTGGTTGGTTGGTTGGTTGGTTGGTTGGTTGGTTGGTTGATTGGTTGATTGATTGATTGGTTTGTTGGTTGTTTCATTGGTTGTTTCATTGATTGGCTAGTTCGTTGCACCAGGTTGGATGGTTGGTTGGTTGGTTGGATGATTGGTTGGTTGGTTGGTTGCGTGGGTGGGTCGGTCGATCAGTTGGTTGATTTCTGCTTTGAGGGGTTGGAGCAAACCTAAACCTGAAGCCATGAAATATCGCTTTTCCTTCCAATGTCTGTCCGATTCAAAGCACATGTCATATCTGTACTTCTCAACGGAATGGTGAGCTCTCTCCCTGGTGAACCTGATTTGGGCGTGTCGTTGTTTTCGATGGTATATTTTTGAGGTGGTGTTCAAGGGAAACCAAAGGGAAACCCTCTAATTTTTAGGGTCCGCTGTTTTGAGGCAGATTGGTTGCTTGAGCAACGGCCGCAAATTGCAGTGGCCCCTGTGTGCAAGCAGCCTTTTCACAGGGGCTATGCTGGTTCTGACTGACGGAAACCACTATCATGAATCAAACAAGGAGCTTTTGAGCGAGGTACACGTTGGAATTTGAAACTTGGCTCCTTTTTCTTTTGGTTAAATTTTATAGATGGCGTCCACTACCCCCCAAACACTACCCATAGAGCCACCATATCGCCACCATAGAAAGGGTATACAACTTACCCTGGAGGTAGTGGTTTGGAGGTAGTGGAAACCATCTTAGAACCATGGGCACGCAACAAAACCCTTCACATGCTCAAACTGGATGCGCAGAACAGTAGATCGTCCGCAGACATCGCATGAAAACACGGAAAGCTGTGGGAAGCGCCAGTGACACATTGCAAATCAACGACTTCAACTGGTTAAGGTACAAGCAAGTACATCTGCATGGAACATCATGGCGCATCACCAGTAGAACACCAACACCGCACACGAGCCGTGGCTATTGTAATTGTGGGGCCTACACGCTGGAAACATACATCTGAGCGGAGGCTACGCGGTTTTCTCGCTCCACAGGAAGCAACACTCAAGGATCACACAAGGTCAATCCCTACAAACCCCCTGATCATAGGTGATCTTGGGGACAAGAGATGGCCCTGGAAAATGGAATAAGACCAATCTAAACCAGTGCCGCCTACTATTCATGGCAATCCCTCTAGCGAAACCCGATGGGCACCATGACTGCGACTTGTGACTGCTTGTGTCCAAATAGGACCCACCAAAATGGCGCAACAGGTTTTCCTTCGGTTTGCCTACCTCAAGGGCACCCTCCAAAACGAGCCACACCCCTACCGGCGCCCCCCCATTGAGCTGCCGCGCCAGCTCCGAAAGGATTTCGTTCCTTGACAGGTAGCGCTGGGAGCGGGATTTGGAGGTCCCCTGACTTTGAGCGGCCCACTAGCAGCTGCTAGCTGAAAAGCGACTTGAGAAGGCGCTTGACAGACATATGGAGCCACACTCCGGGCATAAAGAAACAACCAAGGTGCCAGTAGGATCACGCGCGCGCCACATGCTGGAAGAGCTTGCCAAATCTGCTTGCCCCAAGAAACAAAATTGACCCGCAGTCGCGGCATTCGCAACTGCCCAATCCCACATTTGAGTCTTTTGGGGGGACCACCACAAATTGTAGGTTCTGGCTTTTAGACACACCGAAAGGGCTACCATCTCAAAAAGAGGCACGCCCATTTGACAGTGCCCGTTTCAGCGATGCAAAGATTGGACAAAGATTAAGCCCTCGCGGGAAAGGGAATGCGCATCCATGCCCTGCAGCAATAGCTCTTTATGGCCAATCAAAAGCTCCGATGCCGCGGGGCAAATCAACACGGCAGTTTTACGTGTTTGTCTCCCGGCTCGCGCTGGGAAACCAAAATTTCTGTTGGGATCACCGAAGCATTGGCTCCCGATCCTCTGATTCTCAGCTGTCTTTGGTTTTGTCTCTCATTGTGCGGCTCTCGGCGCTGTCAATCATTTGATGCCTTCGTTTCGCTCAACTTCGAGTACCTCCTGCAGAATTCATCTTGCAAACCAAACTCCAGGTAATAGGCAATAGTTGACCAGGTCAACACATTGAACGAAAGCAACCATCCCCGTGAAACAACTAAGTTACCTTTCAATCAAACACATGAGGGACGCGCATCAAGTGGCTGCTGGTCGACACAAAGCAAAATCCGAATTACCCGAATGACATGCTGCATGAATATAGCATCTAGAGGCACGCACTTGTATGGTGAATCACATCAAACGATCTCAGCAGTTCCAATTTCAGCGTGCTTGGCACTGCCAAGAGGCTGAAACTCAATGGCATTGACACAGTTCAGGTACTCCACACGCAGGCTCTCGATCCTGAACTGCGTGTCATTTGTTTTGCTACGTTCATTTGCACCATTCAGAATCTCAGGTTTCCACAAGTGCACAAGCTGCTCCGACGTACACGCAATTGTATGCCTGTGGCAACAAAAATTGAACAACCTAAGTGTGGCAACAACAAGAAAAAACAAAAACAGCCTACGTGGCAACAAAATCAACAGCCTAAGCTAACTTTCTGGCGACGAACATCGGTCCTCTCTTTGTCTTCAAAGTACCCCGCGTATTTCCTCAGGTGAGCGAACCAAAGATCAACGGTTCCGGCTTCCGGCTTCCGCCTGCAAAAGCCTCTGTCCAAACGGGTGAGCCCTTTCTTTAGGCGACCCCCCCAAAATTGGTTGGTTCCTTTTGGTTTCCGTTTTAAGCTAGCCAAGGGCACCGAGCCCTCAAAAAAGGAGAAACCCCAACTCGCACCCTATTCGGATCCTTTGCCGTTCTCCCTGGCTGCCTGGTGCCAAAGGGGCCGACTGCCTTTGGGGCTTGGGGGGCTGCGAGCCAATTGTCCAACATGGGTGGCTCGTCTTCTTTTGAGTTGGTAAACTTTTGAGGGTGGGTTTTTAAAGGAAATGATGCGGTTCACCGAGCGGTACCAAACCTGCTCAGCACTTTCTAAAAACATATTCAAGCCTACAGCACCTAGGGTCAGCAACCTCTTGCCAAGTGATTGCGAAGACTGCTTTATACGCAAACCTTGAGAACTGTCACAGCCGTATAGGACCTATATGCATCAAGGTGGCTCGTACTCGAGGTCGAAGAAATGCAGGACCTCTCGACTCAGACTGTAGATTTGGATCTCTGGCCACTACATTGACGTGACTAAGGCTTAGGGCATTGGTATACTAAGCCACTTTGGTGAAGTTGACCAGTGCATCAAAGTTGCCCAGAGTGTTTGTGTCTCGGCATTGACGTGCACCAAGTATATACATCATACATTAGGCTCATTAGGCTTAGTGCACACGGCTGGGACAAATACAAGATACGTTGAAGCCGGTGTTCAACTTGGTCGCGTTGGTAGGCCTGGTGGTTTTGAAGCCTTGTGTTTCCCCAGAGCGATCACCCTTTTCGGCTCTCTCGCTTCAACAACTACGTTTGGAGGTCACAGGCTTGCTCTCTGTCACACATCATGTTTTCGGAAGAAATACTCCACATCTGTCTCAACACACTGTCTCAACACATGAACTGCTCTCTCTCTCTCTCTCAACACATCTGTCTCAACACATCATGGCCGAATCATGGCTTTATAAAAAGAACTCATCCCGGAAGACAGCCATACTCCACGCTAAACCCAAAGTGGCTGTGTGCCGAAACACAGGCGTGCCATGTGCACGGGTGTGCTTATCCAGGCGCCTGGCAAAGTCCTGCCAAACTCAACGCCTTGACTTGCAGGTGCTCAGTAGGGATTGGTTGGGAATGAACCTGGGGATTTCCTTAAAGGAAAACCATAGATGGTTTATAGGGTTCATTCCGTTTCTCTTTCCCTGCCTATCGCAC